CTGTCTGTCTCTTTTACGTCCGTGAATCATTATTCTGTCTACCCTCTCTACTTTTTGACACTTTAATGTTCCTCTTCCTCTCTGTGAAGCCCGAAGTCAGCTAAGAGGCTAATGTTAACTATCAAAACGCCTGCCATTTGAAATAAATATATTGAGCTGTGGTATAAGGTAATGGCACAATTCTGGATTTAGTCAAAGGCAATAAACGTTATTTTCTCCTTCAATGCTGAGATAAGAGAGCTTGTTGCTCGCTTTAATGCAAGCCAAGTTGACAAGTGACTTTGGCGCTATCACGTCAAGAGTCAGTTATACGATATCTCATTTCGAATGCAAACTGCTACAAAAGGCGTGACTTTAAGGAAGAAAATTTTCCAGAACGAAATTCTGGAAATACGTGGGTATTGTGGAATGCCTGTGTTAAGAATTCCAGACATTTGATTGATAATTTGACTTATAATTTATATGCGGCTTTTAATAGGAGCTAAATGTCATATTTTTAAAGCAGATTGCGAAATGTCAATTGATCATTCCACATTGAAATATATTTAATAATAGTGATGCAGCTAAATGTTAATGTTAAACAAAGCATTTTGTTTGTTTTCAGTTTGCTGTTAGCAAACGACTGTTCAAATTGAATGTAAATTAGGATAAACAAAACAATTATTTGTAATAATCCCTAATTCTCAGTACAGTGCGTCTAATTAGTACAGCGTAGATCAAACGAGGACATTTTGAACTGCATCAGACCATGGCACATTTCAACTATTAAAATACTCTCTTCGAAAACATAGTAATGAATATATAAATATTTCAACCATTTAAGGTCCTACGTTCCTGCAACTGCAGAACTAGAATACCTTCAAATCGCTAGACGCCTGGAATTATACGGCATCCATCCTGAAGGCGTAACGGTAAGTGATATTAGTTATAACTGTGTAAATTCCACATCGGTTTCAAAGCTATCTCTCCTAATATCAACTCGTTTGTCGTTTTGTGATTTTCAAGTAGTCACCGAACGTGTGACTGAAAATGACCCCACGAGGTCAATTCAATGATGATTGGCTGTTTCTATTTCTCATATTCACACGCTAGGTGGATCGGTTTGATCTGCTTTTATTCACTGTCAATCCAGAAACTGATTGTTTAGAATTTTTTGCAAATGGAAAAGGTTTGAGAAAGTGGAGCGTACTTCATAACAGTATAGGTAAAATGTATCCACATACGAGCCATCTCCTTACAATGCTAATAAAGCACGACTGAAATTACTGTTTATAATTATGTAGTAATATGGCAATGAAGTGACCCTTTGGCGATTGTTGCTAAGTTCATAGTATGCTATAATTCTTCGTTTAAATAAGATCGAATGTGAGACCAATTGAAATTCAAACGAAGTCAAGAGCACAGATTAGTAAAAAAGTGATAGAATGAGGAGGTCATAGGTCATGGTATTTTGGGTTTTTAATAGAAGATAAATAAGATTGGTTTAAAAGTAAGCCTCGGCGAGTATTTTTGTAGTTTTGAAGAGGAATTAGCAAGCATTGTCTCTGATGAATCGGATTATTGGTTGTTGTATTTACATGCAAGACCGCAAGTAGAAAATCATTTATCGTCTCTCCAGGTCATATATATGAAGTTATTTCGTTAACAAAGCCCATTGTTTGAGACATGGGTCTTGCTTCTCTTTCTAAAGTTTGAGTATTTTTAGCTCTATAAAGTGAACAAATTGGGATTAAGGGAATTAACTTTCCTATACAATTTAATAAGAAGGTGCCTTTAGTTACTAAAGTATTACTTTACCGTTAATAAACTTTCATGAACTTCAGCTTAATGTGACAACATAGTATGACATGATTTAAGCGGAATAATTTAAATTCGCATTCTCAAAAATAAAAAATATCGTATCTTTGATTCATATTAACCAAATGTGTCTAATATCTAGTGGTTTTATTACCATAAAATAGTTCATATTATTTATTGCATGCAATTTGGATATGTAAAGTCCTAAAAGATGACTTTTATGACGTAAATTCTGAGAAAACGGCACATTTCACCCGTAGCACAAAAGAACAATTCTGGCATTGCAAATTCGGTCTTTTTGTTTGAATCAATTTCATTGATCTTGGTAAATACAGCTTCACTAATATTACAATTCTGAAATTTTACCAAAAATGTGAAAATAATTGCAAAATAACGAGAGCTTGTTAAAACTATTTGATGATAAAAGGTAGATGACATTAATTATATTGAGGGAAGGAATAACATACTTTGGCTGTTATATTGAAATGTCTAGAAGTCTATGGACAGCGGTTGCTTTGAAAAATCTTGTTTGGTTTCGCTGAAAAAAAACGTTTGATTAAGCCATCAGCCTGATCTGACTTGAGATGATTTAAAATTCATTCCTATTAACTTGAGTACGGCATACGTGATACTTTTCTTTAATTCGTGCTCACAATTTTGTTGAATGGATATGTTTTAGCAATTTAATTCGTTCTGTTCATCATTCGGTGACAGATGGTGCCTGTTGGCCCTTTTGCCCTTTTAATTTCGTACTTTTCAGCCAAAGGCATTTGCGCTTCCTTCGGAATATTTATGTTAAATATTGTGTTTTCGTATATATTTTAAAATTTTAAATTTTAGTCAATAACAGCAGATTGTTAGAATTTTCATGGAAATTAATTTATTTCAAATGGCAGGCTTTTTGATAGCTATCATTAGCCCTTTAGCTGACTTCGGGCTTCACAGAGGGGAAGGAACATCAAAGTAGCAGAAAGTCGAGGGATGGGGTACAGAAGAGCGATTCACAGATGTAAAAGAGGCAGACAAACGCAAAAGTAGAGAAAAAGGTAGGATGAGTACTGTTAAAGGGGTCAAATATGGCAAGCAGTCGGGCCATAGTAGTTTGAAGTGAGAAGTCAAATGCTGGTTAATAGACTTTTTTGCCGTATGAGTATACGTTGCCTAGGGTTCACCACGTGGAGGTAAGTCTATCGCACACCCAATCTTTATTATTGAACTGAGATTGCGTACCAACAGTGCCATTTTCAATCGATTTTCTTAATAGGATCGAAATCGGACAAAGCTAAATATCGGAGTGTCTTTCCAGGGCATAAGTGTTCTACTTGAGATGAAACGAATCTACCTCTACACTTGGTACGTGTCGCACACAAATAAATTGTCCCAAGAATCTGATTCTTCCCTTTTATCAAACGATTCTTTCCTTTCAGGGACAATGTTGAGAAAATAGTTTTCTCTGGAAAAACCTTCTCAGTCAGTCTTAAACATCGACCCGTGAGTTTCAGTATTTCAGAAATAATTTCTTCCCCATATTAATCACGTCAATTACCTGAATGTTTTGCTCAGAATCACAATGGGCAGGGTCTTTGTCAACTGATCCTATCCTTGTTTTCTTCATTTCGATGAAGAGTTGTACTAACAAACTTGACAGAGCCTAATTTCTTTGTTTTATCTCCAAAATGTCACTCACTCGCACATACAAAGCCAAGTATGAAACTGTGTTTTGACGAATTTCTTCATCCAATTTATACTAGAATAGGCCTAAAACGATGGAGAATTAAAATAGACCATTTTGTCTACTCTGAGGCCTCTTTAAACTCAAATAAATTTGATTTATTTTTAAATAATGATTTTCATCTTCTGACTTAATCTAATACGTTTCGTGTTCTCAAGAGGGTGGTTAATTCAAGATGAAACTTGGCTGATGCGTTCAATTAAGACTCGTGTTAAATCATTCATTCATAGAATGAAATCGCTTATCTTTTCGGTACTATATGAATTAAACTTTGTCACACGAAGGCCTGTCATCTGATTGACCTTTATAATCCCTGGTACACATTAATCCCATTCTCAGCTATTTGTTCTTGGACTTTATAGACGGGTCAAATTTCTTGTCGGGAAATTAAAAATTAAATAGTGGAGTTTTATTTATTTTTGCTTCAATCACACATGTAAACTTGACTTAACTTTGACAAAATTCTCTATCAAAATGCTCTCAAAGGTATTTAGGAAACAGAATGTGCGCTTATTACAAATATGGGCATTAATGGAACATGGTTAGTAAACAAATGCATTTAACGCAACTTCGAATGAATATTAGTTATTGGTTAGTCGAGAAATGCTGTATTTAATCGGGTTTAGCACTCAAAACACCATTTAACTGTACAAAGAATTACTTAACTGCTTCCAGTTAGAATGTGATTTTCTTATTGAACAAAATTAACCCCCATATTTTAATTCATAATGATCTAAGCCAAAAGAATAAAAAGACTCTTTATGGAACTTATCCTAGTAAATTAATTCTAGTACAGCAATACTATTACAGTAGTTTCAGCAATATAATTTCAATAGTCAAATTTATTACACATATATCAGTGCCATTCTTAAGAAGCCGGGGTTTTCCATCGTGATTTAAACACTAACCATAAGTTTTATAAAATATAATTATCTGAGTCACTCTATTACGTGGGGATTTAAATCAATAATTTAAAGTCCGGATACAAACTGTTGATTCAGTCATTTTGAAGTGATTAGCTACTTGACCATTCTCGATCTTTTTGTTCATCTGTCTTGGGTATTAGCACTCCTGAAATATTATACCAAGTAACTAACTATTTCAATTTCTCTTCAGACCTGGAATTTGCAGTTAATCAACTTCATTTTGAACTGGTGTTTGTTCCTCTCACTCATAGGTCAAAAGACAGGGCTAAACTCTAAAGATTGTACGATTACGATGCTTTCAAACATTTAAGAAGCTAATTGATTCAGACTCTTAATCTATTGAATTAAGAATTAAAAATCTCAAAGCGCTTTGGATAGTGACAGAAATTAATCTATTTGAAAATCTGTTTAATGGTTTTTCTCTGAATGAACCGTTCTGAAAAACGATATTCAATGCAGGTTGACAGCTCAATTCATAGAGGGAGTGATCATTTTTATCCTGGAGAACTTTAAAGCATAATTAGATTATTTGAGATCCGACTTTACTTAAGTCATTCAATTCCAATTTCAATTAACATAGAACGAAGTTTTTAATTGCCATTAGAAAATTCAAATCTTCTTGTCCTTATATGGATATATTTATATTTATTTCAAGTGGCAGGCGTTTTGATAGCTATCATTA